AATCAGCCCCATCAAAAATAGTGCTGCAAAGAGTCTGAGCAGAAATTCTCATCTTCGTGTTCACCCCTTTGGTCGACTGTTGGGAGATAGATTGTGTATCTGTGTGTGTGTGTGTGTGTGTGTGTGTGTGTGTGTGTGTGTGTGTGTGTGTGTGTGTGTGTGTGTGTGTGTGTGTGTGTGTGTGTGTGTGTGTGTGTGTGTGTGTGTGTGTGTGTGTGTGTGTGAATAACAACTCTTGATGTCCTACAATAACAAATATCTGCTATGCATACAAATGCTAATTCCTAGTGCCATATGGAAATTTAATGATGCATTTTTAAAACAGATGTATTAAACAACTCTTGATCTCTTTAACGTAAGCCTGCAATAAGTATGCACTTGCACAGAGACATGCAAAGATAAGCTCTGAGAAAAGTAAGGAGAAGTCATTCACACCACACACAGTTCCATGTGTTCAACAATATTACAGTTATTATTAGTAGTCTATGCTTTTCATGTGTATTATTTAGTGTGGATGCATTAAACTTTAACAAAAGGTTGTCTGTGTAGTGTCCAGCAATGGTCAGTTTGGGTACAGTCTGACCTTTTACCATCTATTCAACATCTGGTCAGAAAGGAGACATAATATTGCATGTGTTCCCTTTAAATGAGCCTTCACACCAGCTGGGATTTAGACTCTGCAAGTCTGAATCATAAACAGTAACTTTCTTTCCCAAGATCTCATCAGTCTGCCTCCAGAAGAAAGAAGATCCAGCTTGAATCAGTTGCTAAATTCAAGAATGATTATAAACTCCTTCTATGACTTATAATCTAGATAATCATTAAATAAACATTTGTTTATTACTACTCTTGATTATTATAGTATCATGAAATGCTTCATTAATCTGTGCTCAATGAATGGATGTTATGTTTGTCTAATAGAACCTGCAATGTGTTCACCATGTTTTGACGAAAATGTCCTCACACCTTCTCCACACAGTGACAAGTACGGCTAAGTTAAATCCATTACACATAGCTAACCTTTTACCCAGATCAGAGCCTCCATACCAAAGAGGGTGTGTTCTGAGATGCTTGGTAACATCCTCAATGTGCCAACTTCTGGTTGGATATTCAAGATAACATCAGTTCATTAAAACTAGTTTTACTCTGGTTTTTCCCTGAGTTCTACTTCAGACAAAACAGTTTGAACATCTCAACTGTTCGAGAGCTCGAGAGCAAGCTTTAGACCGGCCATCTTTAGCACCTCTTTAACCGAGGATTTTGACACGTTATCAAAACTTTAAACCTTTTTCGCACCTGCGAAGCTGAGAACATCAAGATAGTTTTCCTGCAGAACAAAGCTGACTCAAAACTCCTTCAGAGTTATTTTTGAGACGCTTGGTTTCATTCATCTATCGTTGTGACCCGGAGACATCTGAGGACTGATTTGGTCACATTGTGGTTTCTCTATGAACCAGGTGCAGTGGGGTCGTCGGCTCCTGGACATATTGGATCCAAAAGGGGTCTCCAAACGGGTGAGGCGGAGCACAGTGAGATAGCGTCTGCATGTGGTTTTGATAATAACAACTTATAGCTTAATGCAAACCAACTTCTTTTATATCCAGAACTCAGCTCTGAGAACGGAGATTCTGAATACATTATATTCACACATAGGTTCCAGACTATCCTTTAGTTCGCATCCACTCACAGTAAATAATAGTTTAAACAATTTGTCAAGTCTTAAGTGTTTGTAAATAAATTCTTACTTTGTTTATAAACCTGACTCTTTCTTGAAGTAACACGAAGTGAGGCTGATCACTGAAAAGGCAAAGAACCAAGATCTTCTGAATTAAATCCTAGAATCTTCTGATTAATTACAATAAAGACGTCACAGGTTAATATTTTATATTTATACAGAATATTACATCTTCATGGTCATAACAGATAAAATCATCAATTTGCCTCCGCTACATCTGGTCACTGATGTTTGCATCAATGGGAGCAGACAATAGAAAATCATTTGTAGGAAATATGTAACTGCAGATCTAGTGCATGCTTTACTGATTTTATAGTCAAGAGTGAATGCCAATGCAAAAATGTATGATAAAAAGAAATTAAACTGAACCAGATGTTAAGTTAAATGCAAATTAAAAGATACAAATAATGTTGTTTTTTTAAGACACTTTAGGGAAAACTTCTGCTTGGCTGAAATTTGAGCAAACTGTCAAATACACCAGTATTACATTATTAAATCCCCAGGGTTTAAATTACATTTTAAAAGCAGAAAATAAATTCTATTTATTTGTCAGACTTCCATTTATAACAATGTTAAAATGTGAAGATAATGCTAAAGCAGGGGTTGTGAGCTTCATAGAAAAGAAAGTAATAAATTGGTCAGCCTGCAGTCCAGGTTCACAGTGATTGATGCATAATAATAATAAAAAAAACTAAGGACCCCCAACTGTTGAGCTGCTGAAATCCTATATCAAGCAAAAATGCGAACGCATTTTATTTTCCAAACCACAGCAACTGCTTTCAGCGGCTCGCTGAGTTAAAAGAGAAGGTGAAGCAACACAGCAGTAAACATAACGTCTGAGTCGTTATCTTCGTATTATTCAATAAAAAATACTAAGTCTTTTGATGCAGCTCAGAATTTGGCAATATCGCGCTAAATGCCATTAATTATTTCACCTTAGACTGAGAGACCATCTAAAGGCTCAGGAACCCTTTGCAGGAGTTTTAGACTCATTCGCTTATGACACTTAGAGCCTTGAATATTGATCCTTTTCACAATATTCTAATTGTCTGAGATTTCGAAGGCGGGTTTTCATCAGCTGTATGCCATAATCACCACAGTTATAACAAATACATGCTTGAAATATCTGGCTTTGCATGTAATGAGTCTATCTCATACATTAGTTTCACCTTTTAAGTTGAATTTAAGTTTCAACTGCACATGAAGATCTGGACATCCCTCCCACTCTCCCCCAAACTCAGTGAGGTGTGCTGGTAACAACTAAAGGCTGCATTGTTGCAGACCAACCAGCCTCTTGAGTGCAACTTCTAGCTTCTGTGTTCACCCCACTGCACTCGGACAAGAACAGAAAAAAGGGGGGAAAGACAAAGGGAAGTGGATGTGGAAGAGATGGGAGTGAAGAAAAAAGGGATGAAGGGGTGGAGAAGAAAGGGGGGGGCATCCTTCACATCTGTCTAAGTACAAAGTCAGGGCCTGCCTTTGAGTCGGTGGGGTTAAAAGAGGAGGCAGATCTCGCTGTGAAAGCTGTTAAATGGTTCAGTGGTTTGACAGTGGCTGATGCTACAGACAGCGCAGCTCCCCTGGGAGCCCACAGTGTCTCCCCGCTATGGCTCTTATCAAAATATACCTACCGCCTGCCTTAACTTCACAAATAAACAATAACACAGCAGGAGAGGAGGGGGAGATCTGAGGAGCCACTGGAGGCGTATAAAAAGAGAATTACAGTTTTTTTTTTTTATTTTGCCACTGTCATAATTGTCTTGACAATTATGTGTGTTGCATACAGCAGATAGACAGTAGAGTGTGAAAACAGATTATGCATTAATGTTCCAGCTCCGGCTCTTTAGGAACCACGGGCATTTGGAGTAAGTATGCGGGTTCTTACGTTTTTCTTTTTTTCTTTTTTGGAGGAGACTTAAAACATGAAAAGTACAAAAATGTAATCCCAGTTGTAGCTGTGTTGCAGCTGATAGTCTAACACACACACACACACACACACACACACACACACACACACACACACACACACACACACACGCACACACAAACACAAGTAAGAGCAGCGCAGGCAAAACTGCTCCATTTTACCATCATTACACAGCACGGGTCCCTCGCTCCCTTTGGAGCCGTGTTCTGCCTCTGGTGCTACATTTGACGGTTTGTTGAGCGGCACGTAGGTGTGTAGCCTCAGTCGCGTTACGTGATCAAACAACCTAACTGACGCATGGCCAATTATCCCGGCTGCCTCCTCTCATCTCACGTTTAAGAAGAGGGAAAGTTAAAAAAAAAAAAAAAGGGGGGGGGGGGCATAAATGGAAAGAGAAAGATGGAGAGAGGGAAGGAGGGGTAGAGAGTTAAAAAAAAGCTGCGTGGCTGGTGGTGTGTTTATCGAAGAGTGGCAGATGAGAAAACACTCCTCTCCTTGTTCCATAGGGAAGCTGGCATGTGCACCGTTTTTCAAAAAGTAAACAATGGCTCAAACACTTTTATTTTATTATTATTGCGAATATTTACTCTCAGCAAGTTGTAAATAGGCCAATATGAAGCCGACGCAGAGAAAGTAAGGGAGTCAGGCATCAGAAGTGATAAGGTGTGTAAGGGTCTGGGGACTTTGCCTGTGTTTAACATCACAGACACTCTGTTAGAGGAAAATATTAAAAGCAATGCTTTTATGTTCTCTAAAACCATGCCACAGCATAACAAGGTTGGTGCGTTTTTGAACCCTGCTTCTGTTCATTTAACAAGCTTTCTCAATCTTTTGTAGCAATTTGAACAAATTGAGAGCGAGGTTAAGAACAATCATTTTCCCCTCTCCAGTATAACGAGGTTGTGTAGAAATGCTCTTTCAGTTCCAGTAAAGTTTATTTGGTTCATATGTATGCTGTTCCTATTGAATTCTTAAACGGGAGACCTTTAGACTACAATTAATGAAACAAAATCAACCACTGAACAAGGTGATTTAACTCTCACTTAAACACACAGAGGCCAGACCTTGGGCCTCTTGGAGATTGGGGCTTAGTTTAGACATAGATTCGATGTGTGTTAAATAGTGTTGAGTCGTTTAGAAAGAAGTTTTGGCCATGAAAATACTGAGCACTGACTATTTATTTTATTTTTTTGTTCTGTTGCAAAATAAAAGCATGGCGGGCGGATAACAGGGAAGTAACAGAAAGCAGTTACAAAAGGAACAGGGAGTCACTTACAGAGGCCTTGGGCTCAGATCACAACAAAAAGGATTTATCCGATTTTATAAACTATGACTTACCTACAGCTGCTCGAGACCTGACTGAATATCTTTTGATCTTGCCTCTCGGTATGGTGTTGTCCCTTTGAGCTTTTTCAAATTCTCTTTCCATTTGGGACGCCAGCTCTTGGGCCACAGTTCTGAAGTAGGCAGCGTTTAGAAAACTGAGAATTTTGGATGGCTCAGTTAGTCTTGTAAGGACCTGGATCTCCTCTGTGAGGGCTTGGATCAGATGTGGAACCGCATTGCAGAAAGTTGTAACCAGTCTGTCAAAGCCAGTCTCCCCACCCGGGCTGCAGCACACGCTTGAGTGTAGAATCCTCATCACATACTTGTGATTCAGAGCCTGTAAGTAAAAATACACGTTACATACATACATGTGAAACCACTAGTAGGCCTTATGTGTTATTTCTAGAGGTGGAAATTTAACGCGTTAATTACTATTAATTGATCAGAAAACAATAACGCGTTAAGATTGACTTCGAGCCCGAGCGTCTCCCTATTGTGAGCCAGAAAAGTTTTGCATCACAATTTATGCCCCATATATCAATAAATATCTCAAAGCTGCACATCTAACATGACTGCAAAGCTTGGTCTACAAGACTATATGAACCTTTTTAAATGCTCCAAACAAAACTAAGATTAAATGACTCATGACAAATCGCTTTTCATGATGAAAAGAAAGGGAGACAAAAATCTGCTTTTTTACTGTTATATTTTCTAGTTGGTAGAAAGCAGGCAGGCAGTAACTTTATCCCTATGCACTTTATTACAGAAGGAGGGACAATCATACACATAGCATTTATCTTGTCTCTCTACAGAACTTCCTCTGAACTCTACACTATACCTCTATATATATTAGCTCTGCTGCCACCTAGTGTTCACTTCTGTACATATCTACAACATTCCCTAACCATTTACACTTAATCAATAACACATATACTAATATTTAAGCATCCCAACAATTCCCACATTGGTTACCTTTATAATGAGACCAAAGTAATGAAATAGACCTTATGGTTACAGAAATGCACTCATTAAAGTGTGGGTGTGTCATCTGGGCCTCACTAATGTTATTATTGATTTTAAAAAGTTGCTTGGGTGCAAATTTTGTTGAATGATTAAAATGTGATTAATCAAGATTAATTAATTAAAAAGTCTTTAATTAATTAGATATTTTTTAATTGAGTCCCACTGGTAGTTATTTCTGCTAATAATTAAAAAAATGTTCAGTTTTACTACACCTGGTAATCTGGGAGAACCTCACACTTTGGATAAAGAAGTAGCAACCGTTGAAGACAGTAAACACGTTCAAGAATGATTTGAGTGGAAGTTTTTCGGGATCTGGAATGTTCAGGGCTCTGGCATGACAGCTGGTCCATCAGGTAGCGCCGCAGCTGGAGACGTACAGCATCCCAGACCTCCTGGATCTTCAGGGAATAATTAAAGTGCACAAAAAATATCTGAGTCTTTCTGCCATAATTATAGGTACAATGCAAACATGCCACAGGAAGCTAATTAAACCCACATTTCAACATTTCAGCAGCTAAATAAAAATTATATCAGTCCCCTAATAACTAAACACTGAAATGAGTTTTTTTTAAAGCACAATACCTCTAATGAAGAGTCATCTTTGACTGTGTGCAACATGTGAGTGGAGGGGCATGTCATTTGTGGATGAAGAGAAGAATTTGAGGAGGAAGAAGAGGGTGTGCAAGGAAAGGAGATGCCACACTGCGCAGACAAGCTCATCAGCAACTCAAGTGTTACTTCTTCTTTTCCCTCTTCATCAGATTTAAGGTACTGTTGCTAAACAAACAAAGAAAATATCAAATTAAATGGAAGGAGTGGAAAATTACCTAAAGATATGACACACTGATATGCATCTCCTGATGGAGGACCTGGAACTGATCATTAAATAATAAAGAAATCACATCAGTCGAATTTAATCATTTGCCTTGTTTTCACACTGTGGTTGAATGGAACACTCAATCAAAATTTCACACAAAGTTTGCAATCGTTCAGCATATCCTAAATAACTGTTAGGTGGACAAGAAACATTAGATCAGCTGAAGCTTTGCTTTTCTCTATTAAAAGTTCCAAACAGGAAATTATCTATATTCTCTCCTTAAAACATAATTTCCTATCTAACAAATTGATATTTAAGACTTGGTTTTTAAGACTTTGGTAATTACAACTTCTTACTTTTCCAACTAGCAAAATTATTTATTCAACTTTCTTTGCAGTCTGTCAGTTTTGTGCTGAAAAGGTAATCTTGCCATGAAAAAGCACCCTTATTGTGGACAGCACACTGACAAAAGACCATAATTCTAGTGTAACAACACTGTGCTATGCACAAAGGGGCCTGATTTACTGTGTTTGGATATGTCTGAGGCCAGTTCCTAAAAGATAGAATAAATCATTATTGAAAAAACTTGACAATTAGAGTCAACATTATTCAGATGATTTACCAGAGCTCTGAAAAATTCCATAAGCTCGTGATGTCCAGTGGTAATAGGCCTCAGGTTGTTTTGTACTTGGCTGTTGAGACACTGAAGGAACTCTATGGAATGATCACCGGTTCTGGAGTCTCCCATTTGGACCTTCAGCTGTTTTTCAGTACTGAGAAGAAAAAAAAGGATAAATTGTTAAAACTTAAACAAATGGGAGTTTTGCAATGTTTTGATGTGAAATGGTCATTTGCACTTTTTGGCCAATGTTTAATCCTTGAAACAAAAAGGCAAACATTTGACAAAAAAAAGAGCTTATTTGGGAACTAAATTTAAACGTACATAGTTTGTAAAAAGTTGCAGCTTTTAGCATATTTCAATCATCTAAATAGTTATTTATTGGCCACCAGTTTAATCCATGTACAACTATCTGAAGTCCATCGTGTATCTGGTGCTACTGCATCACAAACAGATAAAACCACCAAACACAAGTCAGATTTCTGAAAACTAGACACTGTGCTGAAGCTGCACACACATCCACACATTCAGGTCTCCCTCCCTCTCACTCAGCGAATGTACTGCGAGAAGACAGATATAGAAGCATCAACAGTAATGAACACAGACACCGATATATCAGTGTGCGAGTGTGTGCTAAGCACCTGGTGTGAAGTGGCATTACAGGCATCGGCAGGCATCTGAGGTACACACACTTTTTGCTATCTCATGTCTTACCCACTCCCTTCACACACACACACACACACACACACACGAACACACACACACACACACACACACACACACACACACACACACACACACACACACACACACACACACACACACACATACCATTCTTTTGATGTTAACAGACGGCATCAGCTCTTCACTTTCCTCTTTAATATGACAGATTAGAAATGACATCTTTGAGCCCGACATGTTTAGTCATTTCCATGCAAATCGATGCATATATATATTTGGATGCAAGACGGCATCTGAGTGTGTGTGTGTGTGTGGGCTGGGGGGGTTGGGGGGGGGGGGATACCTGCATAATTTAACATTGTTTTAGGGTGACTGCTGCTAGTGTGTTAACACATGGTTGTGCATTGATTGATGTAGATGTACACAAGGCCCTGCAAATGAGTGTATATAGCAGACATGGCACTGGGTCTGAAATGATTAATTAAATGACCCGTTGCTTAATGAACACAAATCAATAAGTAAATAAAATTAGCTAAATACATAAAAGATGGCTTTCTTTTATTTATTTATTTTTTTCGTTTTTGACAGGATGAATTTAATTGCATCTGTGAAAACATGAGCGGTCGTCGCATCATCTTTTGGACATAATTATTAATCGATGAGTTAAGTGAATAGTCCGTAGGAAAGTACTTTATAAATTAGCTGTACACCAACTCCCAAATGTGTGAGAATTTGTGTACATGTGTTAGTATACACAATGCAAAGCCAAAACGCCCGTCTGTCAGCTCATCCCCTAACGCAGGTCTATAAACCGCCTCCTGCTTTCTCCTGAGCCATGAACACATCCAGATGTCTTGCTATGGCATCACATTAAACAACCATTCAATCTGACACACTTTCATTTCAGGGGAGGAAAACGCAAGGGGATAAAATGTTATAGACTGTTCCAAGTTGCTATCCTCTAGTCTGAACACTGTCTAATGTTATTGCTTCGTCTCACGTTAACTACCTCCTCGTCACTCTTTTCTTCTTCCATAGGCAGACCAGGTGATATGTCTCACTTTATTCTCTTGTCACTACTGTGCCAACTGTCAGACAACCAAATGGTAAAGAGGGTGTTTGTGTATACTGAATGATCTGTAAGGTAATTTTCTGGCAAATGAAGTGTAGATCTTTGGTTTGTGTTTTGACATCAACCTGTGTATGTCTTGTTATCATCACGCTGTATGTTGACATTGGGATACAATGTGTGGGAGCAGGAAACCATGCCTAGAAAACTAGGAAGGCTAAAGATCGCCAACATCAGATAAAGGACCAAAAAGTATAGGTATTTAAGAATAAATATAGATTCTTGGATAAATGTGCATAGTTTGCTATGTCTACCCACAAAGCATTGCTTCAGACTGAATGGCTTGAACAGAGCATTTTATGTGTTTATAGTAAGTCGTAAAACAGGGATGTTCATTCGGGGCTCCACCTCAGGACTTTACACAGACAGCAGGTTTGAAATGGGCTTCCATCTGTAGCTCACTTTTTTACCCACTCCCTGAAGTTCATTGAAACGGTAAACAGAACTAAACTCGTAACTTCACCGGAGCAAAATCAATGTTTTGATAAACTTCTACCAACATTAATGCCCTGAGACCCATTTGTTGTACACGTTTATTGTAAGTAAACACAACAAAATTAGACTGTTGACTTTAGGTCACTGCAGTTTATTTAAATTAGTAAAGTTAGAGAGAGTTATTTCAAGGGAACATCCAGTTAAATACTCTCTTGGTAAATCAGTTGATTGCAATTCAAATGAAAAATAGCCTAGTGATAAAAACTAACAGAGACTCACAAACATTTCAGTTTGACTTAAATCTCGATCATCCCATACGACAGTGGGTGATAGTGGAAGAGCGCCTTTTCAGTTCTCTTGCATTTGATATAAGGTTGTCTATAAAAACAGGACAAGAGCAACACACATG